CATGTGGTGCTGGGGGATTGAACCGCGGTCCCTGATGCTTTGCCAAGCTTGTTCTAAGTAGGTGCCTTAGACCACTGAGCCATCTCTCCAGCCCCCATGTGAATGTATTTCTAAAAATTTTATTTAAAATAACACTGTGTCTAGAAGTCTTCTGCAGAGCCCACTGCTGCAGAAAAACCCAATTAGCAGGCTCTGAAACTAGCCCGGAGCAGCCTGACTCTCATTAGCTTCTCCCACATAGCCCACCTCCTATGAGCTACACTCTAAGCGGAGGATGCATAGTTCACATATGGGAAATGAAGTGCTAGTCCTTGACCTTTGCCTAGATCTGAGTCCATCATACTTGCCAAATAACAAAATGAATTCTTTTCCTGGACTTTGACGGCAATGGGAGGTAAAGAAGAAAGAAGAATTAAATACCTCTAAGAGGAGCTCCACGGTATCCACCCTGAGTTCTTGCAGTCCCACTATCTGTACCACGTGCTTGCTGTCTTCCCTTGCGAAGAGCCTAAAGATGCAAAAAGGTAGTTGGGCTGATGGTGTTGCTGTAACACATTTTGGTTTTGCCTTCCCAGAATCAGATCTACCACTCCCTCATTCCGTAGCAGTTTTGCAGCTGAGCATGGTAGTAAAAGCTTGTAATACCAGTATGCTGGAAGTCTGAGGCAGGAGGATTACAAATTTGAGTCCAGCCAGGACAATTTAGTGACTTTGCAAGACTCTGTCAATCAATCAATCAATGGTAATGTAGTGTAGCTTAATATAAAGGACCTGGGTTTAATCCCAAATACTCTAAATGCATGTGTGTCACACACACACACACACACACACGCACACACACACACACACACACACACACACACAGAGTTGCTAGCAGTTTTGCAGCTTTGGATGGGTATGCTCGATCGCTTGCTCTCTTTCTTTTTTTGTCTTTTTGAGACAGGGACTCACAATGCAGTTCAGGTTGACCTTGAGCTCACTTTGTAGTCCAGGCTCGTCTTGAATTCTCAATAATCCTCCTACAGATTTTTGTTTTCATTTTCACCTTTCTCACCTTAGCCTAAGATTTCAGTTGTTTTCCATGATTTTTGTAACCAAATCAACATCTTGGACTATGATTAAAACAATGAGGACATAACCCAGACCTACAGCAGTCAGTATGTGGCATGTTCCTGCTGGCAGTGATTGGTTCAGAGGTGGACATGGAATCTCTGTTGTCCAATCAAACAAAGTCCTGATCTCTGGTTGTTAGGTGCCTAGTGGGAGGTGTTGTTCCTCTCTGAAGTGAAACCAAGTGGTCCTGGGAACTGTGGCAACCTCAGGCTCACAAATAAGGTAATGATTAGCTAAGAATTGCCATTATCATTAAACTAGCTACATGAAGATTATATGCTAAATTTATTTAAAAAATCCTAAAATTACTTTTTCCTTAAAAAGATACCAAGTTTAAGATTGGAATTTTACTTTATAGGCAAAAAGCAAAACAAAATAATCTTTTTAATGAACAAAGACAAAAAGGAGCAGATAATACTTGATTTGTTTTGTCTCCTTTTTTCAAATGTTTGTACCTTTTATCTTCTTAATTTCTTATATATTTCTTTTTTCTTTCTTCAAATTTTACATGCGTACATCTGCTAATATGAATAACAGGCTTGAATACAACATTATGCATTACAAGGAATACTGTGAAATTCATATTACTTTGTTAAGTTAAATTCTATATCACTTGTAATTTTTTCTGCTTTAATACTATTCTGTACTTTTTTTAAAAAATGAAAAAAGATGCAAAAATTTTCTACAAGATATACAAGATACTGGCAAACAGAATGCAACAAAATATCAAGAAGATTATACAGGGGGACCGGGGAGATGGCTCAGTAGAATAAGCGCTTCCCTGGCAAGCGCAAGGATCTGAGTTCAATCCCCGGTTCCGCCAAAATAAATAAATAAATAAAATTATA